GAGGAGGGAGGGGAAGACCATCCCTGAGTCCACCTATGACTAAATATAATTTTTACTACAGTAATTTTCGTGTTTAATCAAAATTCTTCGAAGTTGCGCACCAAAAAACAACCGGACTGAATGGCAAAAAAAGATATGTTAACCTGTCGTGTATCGATATCAATATGTGCTAGCCAAGCACGTAAATCCCGTTCTCTCATACCAACTGTAAGCTCAGCTTCTGGCGTGGAATATCGGGAGCAGTAGACGAGCAGCGCATCACCGGTATCCAGTAATGCCTTCATGAGCGGAGCATGCTGATCGAACATCAACGATAATGAAATTTTTATCGCACGCTGACGCTCATCCATGTACCAGCCCTGCAAAATTCACTATTTAGTAGTTAACGGGTTGCAAAATTTTTCTATAAAGTCAGAAATTCCACTGTATACTTACTTTCCATGGGAAATGAAGGCACTCAAAATTAGACTGAGTGATACTGCGTGTCAAAAGCAAGGCTATCGATGGCTTTTTCCTCTGGAGTTACTTACAAGTAAGCTAATGGTAATTTTGTCGCCCATAAAATGCACTCGCTCTCGTGTTTTCGATAAAATTGAGTATTTCTCATGTTCTTGTGCAAAGAATTTAGCTTTCAAGCCGTTTTTTAGATCGAACATGAATGCAGGAAATCTTGCAAAGTTACAGATTCGAAGTCTGTCTGGTAAATAAAATAGCTACTATGTTACAAATATCTTCGAAGTGCCCTAAGCCATGATGCACATGCAAATTAAAACACGTTTGAGGTATACGATTTCCCAGATGGACGATAAATTTATCATCGAAATGAATGAAAGAGTCGCAGATGAACTGGTTATCCTATGGGCGAAAGTAAACCGCCGGTATCCAACATAATAACACTACTGCTTTCCCATGCTCGTGCATTTGAATTTATCAGTGTAAAAACCAGTCTGTCTACGATTCCCTCCCATGATAAAGTGACACCGAACAGTGAAATGCATGACGGCTTGCTTTTTAAGCACTCCTTTTTACCATGTCGCTGTTGCTGGCGAATCTCAAGCAACTTTCCCGTACTTTCTCTTTTCAGAAAGAATGCGAAACGCGGATTTCAGACTATTTTTCAGCACAAAAATTTCCCGTACCTGGATTTTGTCAAGTGTCGGCATACTCGATTCAATCACTGTGTTCATTCGTTCCCAACATTCAATACTTTTTTCGGTTTCGTTTATATATGCCGCATCCGCTGCACATATGTTAAAATACCTTTAAAAAAAAGCTTCAGCTCCAGAAATAATCGGACATTTTTCATTTTGCCCTCAC